CCGTGTCCTTATTACGTATCTTGCATTATAGCCACACTTTGAATATTCATGTGGCTAGTGGATTCCACATGGACAGCGCAGAGATAATGGGACATTTCTATCACTACAGAAAATTCTATTGGACGCACCCCATTAGAATCTTGCCACTGTTCTTCCTCAGTTCAATTAATATTTGTTAGAGAATGTTGATACCTTAATCTGATGATTATAACGTTCCACGGTCACTCTTGAAAATATAACTGTATGTTCTTTATATCCTTCACCACAAATCTGCATATTTTTTTTTTTTTAAATAAAGTTTCTTGCTTCCAGTTTTGTGTTGTAATGTTTGCGCTTTTGCCACAATTACCTTTCTCTAAAGGAGAGGTGACTCTGCTGACCTCCAGCCATTTAAAACAAACTCCCGAGAGTTGCTTTGCAGGGACAGCTCAGTCACTGCTGACATGAGCCCAGTGCAAGCACAGAGTTGAGGTCTCCGGTTCACAATGAGGAAACAGTCCCATTAAAGGTACTAAAATGTTTTTCCTTTCTTCCCTGGCCTCTGGCAGCTTGTTACGGTGGTTTTTGCTAGTTAATGCTATTCTAAGTAAAATTAAAATTTTAAATTATTAGCATTAATTTTATCATTCATCTTTATTTTATCTAATTCCAGTTTTAGCTGCAAATATAAAACATTTAACTCATGCAGAACAACCAAAATTACATAATTTGTATTTCATACTTATGTATACATACTGTGTGCATATGTATTCTTACCAGAACTGTGGAAACACTGCATAAAACTAGCTCAAATGTTATCATTTCACTTCTTGATATGTACACATTCTATCAACACTTTCAACTTACTGATGAATAAGGAAGTTCTGAAAGAAAAAGAAACTATGTTTTCCCATATGTTTTCCTTTTCTTCTGTGTCATCATTTTTCAGCATAAGTGGTTGGCTGATACTACCATGAGTAAGAAAGAGTATGTTAGGGTTCCGTGGTCATTCATGCTGCTTAGAATACATTACCTTCTTTTTTGCATTTGAATCAATTCTGCTCAAGTGGAAAGTAAGGTCTTTTGGGGCTCAGTGCCCCCACATAATAGGCTTGTATTCATAACAGGCTTACCTTGTACTCTGAATCTCTGAATGCTCCCATCCGGTGGGCCCACAGGAATTCTCTGCTCACAGGCATCTCAGAGCTGTAAGTGAACGACAGTAAGAAGGGTGGACGCATGTATTGCACGCATCTCCTCTGCTCAGGTGTGTGCTCCTTTGCTTCATCAGACTTCACTTAAAACACACAAATTCAAAGATAAAATTAAATACTACAAAACGGTGACAGAAGAGCATTAAACCAGGTACTGAAGCCCTTCTGAGTGTGATGCCCACCCAGGAAGCTGGCCCTGGAGGAGGAGGGGAGCATCCCAGAGAAAGGTTCAGACCGAATGTATGTTGAGTGGGTCACATTGAAATAAACTCACCCGTGAGATTGATGTTTTGAAAGTAGAGTGATTAACATGGCAGTAGGCTCTACTATAAGGCAGCTGTACCTCAAAACACATCATCCTGGAATCACAAAACGAGACCGAATGGCAGAATGCCTCCGGAGAGAAGACTGCAGATTTGCCAGCACCCATCAATCACAGAATTCTCCTTTGAGGACAAGAATTCCCAAGCTCAGAATTCGGTGTAGGCAGGGAGTGGACGTCCTTGCTCAGACACTGAAGTTCCTGGTGGAGCAAATGGCAGTCTAAAGCAATTTTATACACACATTTCACACAAACCTCCTAGATTTAAAATGAATAAACAGCAACAAAGCACAGACAAAGGTGTGATCTCTCAAACCTGGGCGACTAAGCACAGTTGCTTTAATACTTAAAATTTAAGATTTTTTCCTTGTCTCTAGTCACCATAGTGTTCAGCAGTCACATATAGTGACTGCCATGCTGAACAGCGTGTGCACAGAACACCCAGCAATGCAGAAAGCTCTATGTGGGCAGCCCTCTCAGACCCCATGTGGCTTTTGTTCACATTACAGTTCTCAGAATAGTTCTGTAACGCCTTTTTATAGGATACTATACTCAACAAAGAACAGAGACATTTACTTAATTTAAGACACCCCTTTTCTAGGACACAGCATCCTTTCCTACTTTATATATGTTTACAATATATAGGGAAACCCAGGGGTGAGTCAGCACGCACTGCTCACCATGGAAAGGGGCCTTCGTCCTGGCTGCAGGGTGGGCTGCACCAGGGCCTGGGCTCTGCCCCACATGTTAGTCATAGGCAACAAAGCAGCTCAGCCTCTAGGCCTCTCCACAGTCTCCAGCGTGGAAAGCTGAGAGAAATGAAGGGGCAGGTTTTCTGCATCTTAAAGCAGCTCATCTCTGCCCTCCCAGGGACCATGTGGGGCTGGCTGAGAACACCCCCCAGAGCTCAGGAATGATCACTCTAGAAAGGACATTTCTCCGTGCCTATTATTAAGTTACCTTTTTCTTTTTTCACAGCATAAAGACTGGCAAAGAATACCTTGTAGGCTAACCAAGACAGGAACACAAACAGCCCTCAGAAAGTTCAAATCCAACGAAGAGAGAGGCCTCATCCCTCAAGCAAAAGCTGCAAGGGACAAACTATTGACAAAATTAAGATGGAAAAGCAGCTCACCTTTACCAAGTCGCCTTGTAAACGAGGCCATCCCTCGGGATACAGATGGAGGTACAGATTGCTCTTGGGGTGCATTTAAGTGGCTGGTTCCTGAGGCACATCTCCCTCAGGTGGCTCTGGCCCATGACCCCTGAAACAGAGCTGGGATTCTAGAATGTAGGCTTATTGAGCAACTTAAGAAGAACAATGAGACCTTAATTACTGTCTTCACAACTTGTGTTTCAGGCCATTTAAAAACAGGAACTCTGCCCTAACCGGTTTGGCTCAGTGGATAGAGCTTCGGCCTGTGGACTCAAGGGTCCCGGGTTTGATTCTGGTCAAGGGCATGTACCTCAGTTGCGGGCACATGCCCAGTAGGGCCTGTGCAGGAGGCAGCTGAATCGATGTTTCTAACTCTCTATCCCTCTCCTTTCCTCTCTGTAAAAAAAATGTCAATAAAATATATTTCAAAAATAAAACAAAAATGGGAACTCACGGACAATATTATTATGTCAATTCCCAACGAAACCCAAACGCAGGCATCTTTAACAGAAAAGTATTTGTCTTTCTTTACCAGCAGTAATTTCAACCCAAATTAAGAATTAGGCACAAAGATATTTGTGGGGATAACCAGCAAGATTAGCAATGGCATCTCACAAGTATAAGGTACCATTCACTTCAATGCTTCTTTTAAAGAAATTTAACTTCCTGAGTCAAACAACACTAATAGAGAAAGCCTGAGTGAGTGGCAGCAAGAGAGAGGCCATGAGCAACAGGAAAAATCCTTCAGTTTCACTAAAAAGTACTAAACCAAGTTCCCAATGAAAAGAGATCCTCTTTACTTTTGGTGTAACCCAGAACTTAGTTTTTAGCTTGCTTGCTTCCTCTCAGGATTTTTTAATTTTAAAGATAAAACTAACATTAGATTTTTTCAGTCACTTCCTTCCAAATGTGACTTTTATTCTAAAGCAGGGTTGGGGAACATCCGGCCCTTGGGCCTTAAAATCATTTGGTCTGGCCCTGCCAAGGCAACCACAGGCAGGACTCAAAATTCAATAAATCTAGGAGCTTTTTTCATAGCAACATAAATTTATATCAAGTAAATTATATTAAGCGAATGATGTTATAAATATACAAATGGCCCTTGACAGAAAAAAGGTTCCCACCCCTGTTTTAAAGCATAATTCAGCAGAATACCTAGGGTCCCTACAAGGGCATCAAAGTACTTGTTCATTAAACAGTGCAAGAGAAATGCGTCTTCCTTTTGTTCGTACATCATGATCCCAGTGACACAGGTATTCTGTGTCTGCATCCAGTTCCAAAGCAAGTAAACACAAACCACTAAACCATATTCAGAATATAACACGTTATTTACAACCATAAGGAAACAAACATTAACACCTAATACCTTGTAATAAAGTGATTAAGTAAACTCAATTGTCTGTAACATGCAGACCTAACTCTCGCAGGTCCCGGGCTGTCCTGGGGTGCTCACACTCACCACGTATGACAGACACCTGCTGGAAAGAGCCCCCTGTGGCTCAGTGAGTGGGGGTGCAGAACAGGGAGACAGACACAGAGGCATGTGGGGGTAAATCTATGATCTTTGGCTCTTCAGACAACACAACTGAGATTGTCTATAAATCACATCTGCCCAGACTCAGGAATAGAGTCACAGAGGTGTTGAAATTAAGGCAAAGGTAGCATTAGCGACCTGACTATCTTTCAACCCCCCAACTCCCTGCTGCAGTGGTTTACCTTTCCCTGCTTTCTGAGGCAGAGGCTCTTCACGGGAGCCATGCAACCTTGGATGGAGGGACTTCTGGGAAGGGCTCAGCTACCACCTGGGCAGCAGCCCCTTCAGCGTGGCTCTGCCATTGCCAGGAGCTCCTCACGGCGCCTCCCACTCCGGATACCTTATCTTCTGATGATGGGTCCTTGAGTGCCCAGGCCTCCATTTGTCATTCTCTGCACTCAAAGCTTAAAATTTTCATTTTCGTTTGGTGACAGTAAACTTTTTGAGAAAATGAATTTTTACATAAAGGGGCAAATGAGTGAGTTACAGAATAGTTCAGATTTTTAAAATGCTACTCTAAATTTTTGCTTCCACATCGCAATGGAGCAAAGCAAAGCACACGAGTAAGGTTATCGCTAGCACGATGCCTAATTAATGAGGAGTTACAAAGAGCGCACTGTCAGGCTCCTCATTCTATTAACCAAGCTGGAACAACCCCCCACACCCCACCCTGGGGCCTGAGATGGTTCTGAGCCAGCGTCCTGGTGAACCTGGAGAGAGGTTTTGCTGACTCAAAAAGAGGCAAAGCTGAGCTATTTAAGGTCCTAAAGCCAAGAGAAGAAAAGTTTCTCATTATGACATTAAACTCCATTTATTTAGTATCTGAAACATGGTGTACATTTATGAATCCATATAAACATTTAGTACATCTAAAATCCACAACTGGTCAACAACCTGTGCTTTCCTTTGTGTACAGTTTGGGTTTTACATCTGGATACTTTGGTGGTGTGGAGAGACCCAGGCTGTGAATCTAATCCAACTGCCCTTAGTCACTGTGACAGAGTGATCTGCTCCGGAAAAGGTCCGTTCCTTGCACAGAAAAGGTGTCTCACTTTGGAACTACTAAACCAGGTGTCAAGGAAACAAGAGAAAGTACAGGAAGGAGACTCCATGTCAGTGCGCAGCACGCAACGCAGCCCCGTGGCGCCACAGAGAGATGGGCACTTTCTTTCAGACCTTTCGATGCTGATGTTGACTTAGAGCCTCCTCGCCCCGCACTGCAGGGGCTCCGTCCAGCAGGGGCATGCACTCTGCTCAGGCACACTTCTTAGGGTGCCCCCTGGGTCACAGCTGCAGCTCCGAGGTGCCCACCAGGCCCAGGGCTCGGGCTTCTTCTGGAGTCAGGCCGCTCTTCAGGGTCCTTCGTACTGCAGTGCATAAGCGGATCAAAGGGTGAGAAGAGAAGGAGGGATTAGCAGCCAGGCACAGGGATGCGGTCCACCAGCCCTCTTCCCCAAGGACTACAGGCCAGGGGGTCACAGGGCTCCCAGAGGCTCGGCCCCATCTGACTCCTGCTGAAGTGTCCTGGCTGGGGCTGCAAGAGGCTGACCTGAAGATGGCACAGAATCTGACCGGCACGGCCCAGTGGAGGGGGGCCTTGTAAGGAAAGAAGGGAGAAGAGGCTCATCCTTACAAAGTTTCTGAGAAATGGGTGCAAACTGCAAATGGCAGGTGGCATGTTGAGAGCTCAGCCTCTGACCAGCATAAGGAATGGATCAGAGCTGGAAAAGTAATCACAGAGCAAAGGAAAACGCAAGTTCCAGTGATGTCAATCAGGTAAGATCACCCCACAAACCCATGACCTTGGACAGCAAGATGTCAACAGACCCCAGGGCAACGGACAGCAGTCAGGGTGAGTCTCTGTGAGTGTCTCCACTCATCAAAGCGCCTCTGGAGAGAATAACCAGGAATCCCCTGCAGGCTGGCTGTCACAAAGCAAATTGCCAAATGTTTCTGGGTAGTTCTGGTGGATGTTCTCTGTGAAACAGGCTCAGGAAGGACCAAATGACCCCTTCACTGGGCGCACACCTGGCCGTCGAGGAACACTCGCATTTCACGGACCTGGAATTGGCCTCTGTGTAGCCCGGCATCATGGATTGTCCCATTGCTCAGTGTTGATCAGTTCTGATGTCAAAATACAGGCTGGATAAGGGTGAATGAGTAGACAGCTGCCTCTTTCAAAACCAGGCCTTTCCTTTGAAAGGTTGCCTAATTACACTTCTCTTCATTTATAAATTGTGTTTGGTCTATCCTATATGTAAGATCATACAGAGTTTGTAGGATATGGTCTATGTTCAGAAGAGGCATGTTACAGATCCACCTTCCATCCTAAATCCTAAATCCACCAGAGTCCCCGAGATGAGCAGGGCAGGCCCTTGATCAGTAAAGCTCACCCTTACTCCTTCCCATCTTCCCTTGCCAGACCCAGTTCCCTGAGTCCACTCTGTGACCCTGGGCCTGTATCCTCCGAGGCCTCCTCTGAGGCCTCTCCACAGGCAGGGCCCCACCTCCTATGTCTGCAGGCAATACCCCCCATTTCATGTCTCCCCATGACCCCCTGGGAAAAAGCCCATGTAGCCTGTGGACAAAGGATCTGAAAGACCCATACCCATTGGAACGAACAGGGGTCATATCTATGAATAAATGGTGTCTTCTCTCCCAGGGATCAGCACTTTGAACAGGGACCAACATCTAATCCATCAATTAGTCAATCAACAAATGGTTTATGGAGAACCTACTGTGTGTTTTCCCTTCACTCAAAGAATCAGCACACTTCTGGAAGGCTCTCAGACACCAAGTGTGGGTTTTTATAGAGATTCAAAGACTTGTTCCATGCCACCAACGCACACTACTGTATCCCAAGCCCAGCTCTGGGCCCCAAGCTACCCATCTGCAGCTGCTCCTGCACCGGCCCCCACTCCCCAACGCAGCCCCTGGGGCTCCAGACTGAGAGTCTAACTCATGCAGACAAAATGTTTGGCTCCAGAGCCTTGGCTGGAGGCAGACTGCATTTATTTAATTGAGTAATGGAATGTGTTCTATGGGGCAGCCATAAAAATACTAGTTTGTAATAACCTTTTATATCCTTTAAACACTCCTTCAAGTGTTGGTTAAAGAAAAGATAATTTTAATGGCAGAAAAGAAGATAAAATGTTTCTCATTCTTGACAAGGACTACTAGGACCTCTCATCCAAGACACGGAATTCTGCCCGGAGAAGTCCATGCAGCATCTTACATTTCATTAGCTGCGGAGGCGGCACGGACACGTGCCTATGACCAGATTCTCTGTGCCTTTGGGTAAACATGCTTGGCCGAATGATGACAGAGGCTCTGTGAACGGGTGGGCATTTCACCCACGATGGCATTTAGAATGCTGCCTTCACACTCCCGGCCACACACTGGCTTTCGTCCTGTGACTGCAGTGTTTGGGAATACTTGAATAAGGGAATACTTGAATAAGAACCCTGGCACCTTAGAGCATGTGCACTGATGTAATAGAGATGGGCATGGGCCAGCTTGGCTGAGGCAGCTCGGAGAACAGAACAAAGTCTAACCGGCGCTTCGCCGACCTTCCTGCTTGACCAGAGGCTGTGCCTTTGGCCTCATCATCTACTCAAAGTGCTGATGTGCCAGGCCCCTGGGACCCTCCTACACCCCTTCCCCATGGCATGTGTGTTCTCTGCTGCAGGGGAAAGCCAGAGTAGGCTAAGGTCCCTTTGCTTGCCAGATGCATTCCTGAAAAGTGAGTCTTCCTAGAAAAATCTGTGCCATCTGTAGAATCCTACTTTCTGTAGGCCTTCATGACAATTCAGATAAATTCTTTCACAATAAATATAATAAATACTGAACATAATAACCCAATAAACATGAATATATTAGCCCCCCAAAAGACTTAAAGAATCTGAATCCTTCCTTTGTTAGAGTCAAAGTTAATTCATGTTACTGCTTGAAGGTGTGAAATGAAGGCAGTTAAAATCAGGTTTGTACCCCAATTCAGATCACATATAGAAAGGGCTCTTAGGGTGTCATTTCATCCGTCCATCTGCTCACCAGTTCACTCATTCATTCAGCAAATGTGACTTGAGCCAAGTACTGCCGGCAGGGAGGCAGGGGGCTGACAGGGACGTGCTGCGAGGGATCCGCAGACCTGTCCAGACACGGACTTGGCTCTCACTCCGAAAGCAAAGAAGGGCGGGGGTAGGGTGGGTAGAGGGGGTGCTGAGAGAATGAGGGGACCAGCAGATGGGGCTGGCGGGATGTGGGACTTGTACAAGTCTCCCATCACACAGGGGATTTCTTAAGTGCTTGCTTAGGTCTGATAGGATAATGTCTGGGCCCCCCTCTGCTCCCTGTTCCTGCTTCCCTCTGAATGCCCTGGCTGGAGCTGCACAGCCTGTCACATGCGGCTGCCTCCCTTCCTCAGCTGCTTAACAGAGAACAGACCTCGGTAATGTTTATCCCTGTCTGCCTCGCAGCTCTTCCATACACGGCGCGGGTCACTTCGCTGGCCCTGCAGCCGCTCTGCCCCCGGCACTGTGACAGCTCTCACGCAGCCCTGACAGCAGTGGGAACCTGGGCTCAGACACAGGGCGCCTCTGCCTCCACAGGCAGCACGGGGGTGTCTGGGACTCACAAAACCCATGTTCCTTTTCTCATCTCCCACCCTCCTAGAAGTGAAAACAAATTTTAATCCTGCAAAGTGCTCTCAGGTGACTGCTGAGATGAGTTGAATCTGAGAATAATGGCAATGGTGGCCACAATCTACTCCTTGAGCCAGAACATGGACTATTCCTTTTGATCTTTGTGGAAAGCCTATGAGATGAGTAGGTTTCCCCAGTTAGTGAACAAATGGCAGAGATCGAGGCCCTGGCCCAAGTGCACACAGTAAGCAGGAGAGAAGGGTTTGAGCCAGGACGTTTGACTGGGCTCCATCCTGTTCTGGCCCCTCTGCTTCTGCAGCCCAAGGGGCACTGATGGTGGCACTCCTCCCAACACGCACAAGCCCTCGAGTCACCCTCTAAAATGTAATGACTCTCAGCCCTAGGCGGGTAGCTCAGTTGGTTAGAGCATCGTCCTGATATGCCAAGGTTTAAAGCATAAAGAGTGGAACAACAAATCTCTCTCTCTCTGAAAATTCAATAAATTAAAAAAATCAATCAATAAAATTAAACATAACAACAATAAAATTAAACATAACAACTCTCAATCCAACACTTGGTTTTCTCATGGGCTTGTTCTATTTATCTGGGTAGGCACCCTCAGCTGCCTTTTGTGGAGGGATCAGACCAGCTTTAATGAGTCTGAAGAATAATTAGATGCTCACTAAACAGCAATGATGCTGTTGTTGAGAAGACAGAAGTTGGACTGAGGAAGCTTTATTTCCTTCCAACATCTTATTTTATTGTATCCCAAGAGCATTAGTGTTAAAGCCTCTGGCTTATGGCCATTGTTATCTTGTACTATAAATATAAATTTTATGTAAATATAAAATTGGTTCATGGTAAGTAAGGAAGAACTATTTAAATTAAATGCAGAGAAAATTTTAAAAATGGGATTAGTGGGGGAAATTTCTGGGTATTTTCAAACACCACTTTGGAAAAGTAGAGAAAACTGAACTAAGTTGTGCATGGAATCTAATCTTGTGAGACATAAATCATGTTTTCCCCAAAACAGATTCAATAATTTTTCAGATTAGATCATTCTCTTTCTCCATGAACGGCTACTTAATAGATAGCCTGGCTATACCCCTCAATATTCTGTAAGAGAAATAAAATAAGATTTGAGTTATGTCAAATGTGCATTCCTCTCCCCTTGGAGAGGAACGCCACAGCGTCACGAGAGACACTGTGGGGGAATGGTGGTGTGAGGGATGTCAGGGCGAGAGAGAGAATCTGAGTTCTACGTTCCTTTCCCAACGGGCCCTGGAATCAAACTTCTGGCTCTGCCCAGGGGAAACGGTTTTTTCGTAAAGGTATCCACCATTATGATCCTAACAAACTAAGAAACTGTTTGATTATGTGTAGGTCACATCAAAGTGATCACATTTTTAGAGAAACATAGCTCTGAGCCCCAAACTCCATGGTCATGTCGCAACAGGGCCCAGACTCTCCCTTGGAGGAAAACTCAGCAGAGAAGGGGCACCTGCCTCTCTCAACCATGACAGGACCCTGGGGACAAGAGATAAAGCAGACTATGAGTCCCTAATCCCCGATCTGTTCTGTGATCATCTGGGCTGGTGGCACCATGCAGGCAGCCAGCAGGGTGGAGACCCTCTTCTCAAGGCGGGTCCAAGAGAAAAGCATGCTGGGGAGGAGCCCCCTCCCCACCCCAGTCACTGGGCTCCATCCTGCAGAATCATACCTGTAAGGATACCTCAAGTGCTGGTCAGCTTCAGGGATTTCTAGGGCAGGTCAACATTCAGGAGGCCTAAGAGGACAAGTAGCTCTGGGACAAAACACCTTCCTCAATATTATGAAAAGAAAAACCAACGTAGAAAAACACAAAGAAACAAACAAGACAACCATAAAGCTCAGATAACATTCTCCCTCTGTCCGATGCACCGGCCGATTGGAGGGCCTTGGCCAACGTGTGCTGGACCATTCATTCCACAGGCTAGAACCCAACCACATAATTAGAAACATTTTGCTTCATGAGACCCTGAAGGCACCAGCTGGGAAAGCAACAGAACCGAGCCGTGGGAGCCTGCAAAGCGATGAAGGTGCCTTTGATGTGTCCCTACTGGCTGCATGTTCCAGGCATTCGCAGGGCGTTGGGTGTGTGTAGGCCCAGCCACCAGCGCCAACAGGAAAGTGAACATTGAATTTTCTCAGAGGATTCTCAAAGGCTCGCAGGTCATAAATTTTTAGGTTATGGGATGGATTCTGTTTAGTTTCCTGCTATAGCTGGACTATTACTGTCTTTGGCCAAATGAGCTACGGCCCACATATGTTGGGTATTCATTATCCACTTGCCTCATTGCCACCATTAAACAATCAAATAAAAGGGTGGAGCCCAAAAGGCGAAACTTCATGTTGATTTTGCAAATTATTGTCTTCTTATTCCTTTAACCTCTTGTGAAAAGCTGGAGTTTATCACCCCTTTAAATGGAAATCAAAGGAACTCCCCCTGTCTTAAATGTCTGCGGATTGTGCCATTACTAATAAGTTAAACCTGTTGCAGATAAACATTTACATACATGCAGTACTGTAGTCGTTGAAATCACTGCATCACAGGATGAAATGTGCTTGGCTAAATAAAAAGAATGTACGGCTGTTTTGCATAAGATTGGAATGGAAACGATACCAAAGGATAGTATGTTATGTCAACAACAAAAACAGGCAAAATATCTCTCTGGCCAGATTGAAGTGGGAAATTAATTATGGCTGTGTGATTGTTCCCAGTGACATCAAGTGTTTCTGTAAGAAGCTGGTTCTCTCTAGACCAGAGGGCAGGGCCAACACGCTGCCCACACAGACGTGGATGGCCGGAGACTCTGGGGACTGGCAAGGCCACTGTGTCATGTAGTCTCTGTCTCTGAGGTTCCTGGCTCACCCCTGCCCATCTCTGTGAGGGCACACCCTGGCTTGGCATCCTTTCTCTACTCCCCACCCATGGTCCCTGCCACCCTCAACACACACACTTGCTTTTCCCAGATCCTCCCGGGTGATTCTTGCACTGAGGTTCCCCACTGTAGCCAGACCAGGAGAGACCCAGTACCAAGTTTCTGCCATTTGGTTACCAGTTTGCTGAAGTAAGTAATAGGGGGGCAATAAAGGCAAATACGAAGATAATCTACGGAAGACCTCCAAAAGCCTTTCATACGTTTCATTTTAAAAAGCAATGTAACAAATAGATTTCTTATGAAAAAGAGCAAGAGAAAAATAGGCAAACAATATGGACAAGCCATCCACAAAAGAAGAGATGCAAATGGCAAGAGAGTCAACTCAACTTCCTAGTATGCAGGGAAAAGTCAGTTAAAACCACACGGGAATACTATTTCATCCCCTTCAGGCAGAGAGAAAGGGAGGTGCTGCCTTGGCCTGGAGCAGCTGGAATCACACAGGCGGGTGGGGGGAGGTGGACAAGCCCAAGTCTTTGGAGAAGAGTTTGTCAGGGAAGATGCGCAACTGAGGCCCCTGTAATTCCACTCCAGGCCTCAGACCTGAGCGCTCTAGCTCACTGTGCCCAAGTCCCCTGGAGACCTTGTTAACACAGATTCTGAATCAGTCGTTTGGTTTAGTGCCAATGGGTCGCGCAGAATCACGGGGTCCAACATATGCCCCATCACCTCCCGTGTGAACCTCAAGCGTGGCACCACTGGGGGCTCCCTGAGTTCGAGTTCTAACTAAACTCCCTGCCTACTTGGAGTCACTCTCCGGTCACTTTTGGGAGTCTAGACGTGGGGAGGGAACCAGCCTTCCTTCTGGTGACAAGTCATAAATCCCTTTCCTAGTCACCACCCCTTACTCCAGGAAGCAGAGCCGGTGAAGACTCAAGCTGCCACTTGTGTGACCAGCAGAGGCCAAAGCTTGGGGCTGAACTCTCGACACACACAAGCGCCACAGCCAACACAAGTAACATCAAAGAACTGAGAGGAACCCTGCTTCCTGACTCAGTGCGATCCCTATGAGAGTTGGCATGGTGCCTACACAGGCAACTCCACACCCACCACTTGGGCAGGAGCAGGAATTGGGCTCCAACTAAAGAGAAAGTCAGTTGCTTTGATTTAGTTGAATCCTCTATTTGGTAGGAAAAGAAAAAATAACTGGTCAACCTAGGCTAGCATTAAGTATTTTAACCATCCTACTGACCATAAAATCACTGGTTTTTACCTTGGTCATGTTCACCAGCAGCAGCGAACCCCTAGGGGAACCACCTCCAGCCCAGAAAGTGGCCCCTGATGCTGGGAGAGAGGCAGAAATATACTAGTAGCCTCTGGCAAAGCATCCCGGGCAGGGCTTGGCAATGGGCCGCTCTGAGCCCACCAGCGCCTGCCAGAGCCATGTCAGGGCCTTTTAACCTTCCTAGGGACAAAGTACGAATTGAGGGAGGCCTGGCCAGAAATGACAACTACCCTGGGCAGGGGTGACTGCAGCACCCTCCACAGGCCAACGCTGACTGCCACGTAGGAAACCTTTTGCTGACGAGCACAAGTGGGCCTCCTGGCACCAGTGACAATTCCCTGGAGCCCACCTCTGAGTCTGCCCTTCCCGGTCATACAGGACTAGAGGGCAGGTACCTGTGGGTGAGTCCCTCACCCCAACTCAAAGGCACTTACAAGATTTCCGGTTGGCCCGGGAGCGCTTCCTCTCCCGGGGCACCACTCGCTGACTGGGCACCTGGGTGGCCGACTTGACGATGCGGTCCATGATCTCATCAGCGGCATCATCCGTGACATTCGGTGAGTCATCAGTTCCCATGGTCCATGAACTAGCGGATCCTGAAGGATTAAACAGGGAATGCGATGAACCCAAAGAAAATGCACAGCGCTGCCCCCGGCAGCTGAGCTGCCAGCAGCGGAGCAGAGCGGGAAGCCCAAGCTCAGCAGATCCAAGTGCTCGCAGGTCCCCACTGTGGGGCACAGGGCACCACTCCAGCCACCACCCTCCAGGCTCTGTACTCCCTAAAACCCATACTTGGGGCACTTTGTCATAATACCTTGTACCACAGCTGTGCTCTTGTCTTTCACTGCCCTTTAACTTTCTATGCCTGGATGCGTCCCTCCACCTGCCAGGTCACAGGAGGGCAGACCCCCTCCCCACCCCAGACCCCATGCCACACGGTGATGTGCATACCACAGGTATCCAGTGATGTATGTCCAGTAATGTCAGCTCTCTATCCGTGGCTATATGTGCCTAGTGAATGTTAACTAACCCCAACTTCTCACTCAGTGGAATAGAAATCAATGGATTTTGAAACATAGTTTATCTTTGAAATTTCATAGCAAGATTGTCCTCTACAACCAGCAAAGGGGGAATTGACATAAATTCTCTTTGGTACACTTCTCTGTTTGCTGACCAAAAAAATACATTTATTAATTACTCCAGGTCTGGCATGGAAACATCTGCCTATAGACAAGCAAGAAGAAAGCCCCACAAAAACATAGTTCCCAAGTCATGTTAAAGAGTTATAAATCAACTAGAGGCTTGGTGCACAAAGTCATGTACGGGTGGGGTTGGGCCAGCCTGCCCTGATCAGGGCCAATCGGGCTGGGCCAGCTGGGGGTAGGGGCCGTGGGCAGTTGGCTGGTCAGCCAGCCCCGCCCCCTGGTCAAACTCCTGGTTGAAGTCCCAGTGGAACTCCCAGTTGAGGGACAATTTGCATATTAGCCTTTTATTATATAGGATGCTATTTTAATATACCAGAATGAACTTCCTGTGAAATCTCTTCTATAAAATGGGAAATATGCTTCTGAAAGAAGACAGAAATATATAAATGTTCTCAAAATTATGAATTTCCTCTTCCTACACTTTCTTTTTGTAACAAACACACAACTGCAAAAGCCTGTGGTCTCCATCACACCCACACAGCTCTGCCACTACGTGGAAAAGCACCACCAACAATACACAACAGAGCAAGTGTGGTTGTGTTCAGTAAGACCTTATTTACAAAGCAGGTGGCCAGCCGAAATTGGCCTGGGGCTGTATTTACTGATCCCTGTTTTAACCTATGAGGATTCATTCACAGTAATAATTCCTCTTGTGTAAATTAATTTATATTTTTGGGACTGTTTTTTCTGAAATGTAACTAATGAAAGTGGGTAACAAAGGTGTGAGTAAAGAAATGTGTGGCTACATCAGCACTGGGGAGTTGACTGCCCTTTGCAGCCACAACCCAGGCACAGGAACCTATATTGGGTGATGGGGACCAGACCCCCACGAGGTGGTTTCCTGGGAAGATGTGCCCCGCCCAGCCCGGAGTTACCTCGGCTCATCCGGCTGCGTGTGCGGACGCCCAGCACCGGGGTGGCATCATCCATGGCCGGGGACGAGGTGTTCAGCACAGCCTTCATGTTCTCGTGTTCAGCGGCGTCCTCGGCATAGCTCAGGCCCTGTGGTTGGCTCGCAGGTGCTGGCGAACTGCTGGAGAATTTGCCGGACTGCAAGACCAAAGGGGATGATGGTGTGAACTGCTGTCCCCAAAGCCAACTCAAGCCTATAAAATGCTTAGTTGAGGAACCTTCTCTTCTGTCCCTCCCTGTCCTTTGGTTTGTGTGTATCCTGCAGACACAGTCACCGAGGTTGTGGATGAATAATGACAAAACATCTGTGAACACGGAAGTGCTTTTATCAGAAAGAAAGCCCTGGTCCAGTAGGACCACGCCCATCCCTCCGATGTTGCTGGCATCTTGGCTCTCTGCAAGTTCCCTCGGTGAGTGCCTACCAGGGGCGACCGAAATCAGCTCTGGGAAGAACTCAGAAACCAAATCCGTTTCCAATGCCAAAGCCCTGATACGAGGATCAATACATTTAATGTGTTAATTAAATATATTGAGCTTTAAGTTTTTTAAAATTTAGTGTCAGGAAGCAGTTAAAAATTTCTTACCTATCACTTACGATAGTCAAATTTTAAAAGTGGGATTCAGCCACAGAATGAGACAAGATTAAGAGCTGGGAGGAAATTTTCCAGATCTAGTCCCACCTCACTTTACCGAGAAGGGAACTGAGGCCCTCCAAGATTAAGTGAACCCAAGGGGGTTTGTTTCAGGCACCAGATCAGAACACGACTCAGAAATTCATGCTGAAACTGAGTTTGGTAACGCTTACTACTTCTGGTGGCGCCAAAAATATAGTTGTTTAAACAAGCATTATGTGCACACAATATTTTCTAATTCCAGCTGAACAGCCAGGACACAGATGTTTTACAAGAGGTATGCTAGCACATCGCGCCACGGCACACAGTGCCCAACATCTGGATGAGACATAAGCAGTCTGTTAGATTCCCATTTGCAGAGAGGAGCTCTGTAGATCTGGGCTTCCTCTTTTCATCCAGCTTCTCAGCCACGGCAGCAGAGAGCCCAGGACACATCTGTGGCTGGCACATCTGTGTACGGCTCCTTCCTCACCTTCCAGGCCAGCCAGCTCTGACTTGGACTCTGGTTCTGACATCTGGACCTAGACGAGGAGCCCCTGCCCTTCCACTCCTCACACACTGATCCCGCCAGACCCAGTGGATGTCAATGGAGGAAATGGGCACAAGTCAGAGCTACCCAAAGCTGCTGAACCACTGGTCTGGCCTGGCTCTTAGCCACTGCCCCACTTCCTCTCTGATTTTAGGGCTCTTCATGTGGCTGTTCTAGAACCCAGTTCTCATACAAAAGGCTCAGACAGGGCTGGAGGGAAAGTTCCCTGACCACTCTTCTCGCAGTAGAGAGAGAGGTGTGCTGGCTGGCACTGCCACTTGGGACAGGGCCTGGGGCTCAGGGACAGCTCGGAAAAGCAGTCAATCCGTCAGTCCCTGGCACACACGGCAGGACAGGGACCCATGTTAGGAGGTTAGTGATCACACAGAAACCAACCGGAAAACGTGCATGCATGGTTTAAAGCACAGAACCGTGCTGACACTGCAGGCTGCTTAGGTTAGACACTCCAGCGCCCCTGGAGGTCAAACGTGGCATTCCACACGTTTAGACAGAGTCCTACCTCCATGTCATCCTCTTCATCAGTCTACCCAAGAGGACAGGACAGGATGGAAAAGACAGAAGGGATTCTTAGAAGGCACGGAAGTCAGCAAAGATGAGATCATCTCCATGTCACGTCAAATTCCAAATGAAGAAATTGGCCCCATGACCAGGGCACACCCTCTTGATTTGGGAGCGGCCGGGCCCTGCCTCCATAGCCCTCCTGCCCTTCTCTGGAAATTCCCCAAGCTCTATCCTGACCACAGTCAGAAGGGATTTGGGGGTTCGGGCCAATCTCCCGAGGCTGCCCATGAGGTTGACAGCCACTGTTTTCTGGCCACTCCATACTTCACTCCCAGCTCTGTGTCCTGCCCCTCACCCAGCCACATTCTGTGGAACCCACCTCCCCTGCCCCCATCAGGGCCTCAGTAAGGGGACTGGCCTCCCTCTGCCCGGCTCCACCTGTCTATGGCCGCTCCCCTCTCATCCCCAGTGCTGGGCCTCCCTGCCCAGGCTGCCGGTCTGCACCTCCAAGAACCTTCCACACTCAGGACAAACAACACAGGACCAGAGGAATGGCTGCCCATGCAGAATGGGTCATATCACTGCTCCCTCAGAAACATGAGATTAGGTTCTCTTCAAAATCGTACTTCCCTGTGCCCCCTGGAGGCTGTCAGAACTGACTGGCCATACTTTCAATTCCCACCAACTCTCACCAGATAAGCTCCCTGAAGTCACTTCAAATACTACTAAAATATCCCTTTTCTGAAAATAAATTGAAGGTGAAAGTCATAGCAATCTCTTAATTTTAAATCAACATGCCCTCAATTTAACGTGTGCTTGTTTCTACTGAGGTTGGAAGGCTAGGCCAGCCAGTCGGACACGAGGGTGCTGAGAACTGACTACACTTCTGGAAGCTGAAATGACACAGTGCTCCCAGTACATCACCTTCCCAGCCAAGTGCATCATGACAAGAGGTGACAGTTCTGCTGTGCCATCTTTTAAAAAATCTTACAACATGTTTATTTAACCAGGATTTGGGTTTTCTTTCAGCAATGAGTACATGTGTGCAATGCCAATAGACAAAATCTCTAGTCCTCTCAATATCCCCAAAGTAACTAGCATTCCCTTTTCACAGAGAGGAAGCTGGAGAGAAGGCAAGGGCCTCGCCAGGGTTACCCCTGCCTCCATGTGGTGGTCCTGGGCTGGGCAGCCTGAGTTCTCACAGCCCAGCTGGAGTGGGACGACAGCAGACAGGGCCGCAGTGGCCTTGCGCCGCCTCGTCTATGTCACCACTTTGCCTAGAACCAGGTGGCGACACAAGGGTGAGAAATTACTTAGTGTCTCCCTGATCCTCCCTGGAGGACTCCTGGACTTTAAGAAAGGAAGCCTTCTGCATGTTCAGAAACAGAGGAAGAAGAGGAGAGACCGGCACATACAGCAGATACGGGGCTGACTCCACCACTGTAGGGTCTTTAGATTTAACCCAGGCAGCTCTGTGCCTTAGAAAATAATGGTTTTTCTAAAACTGTCCTTCTTTAATGGCTGTCACTTCCATCCTCATTGCTCAGCATCTACATTAAAAGTGACCGACTGCACAGTTTTCTCAAAAAATCACTTCCAGCTCTAATGCTCGGGCTCTGCTTCTCCATCTATTATTGGGTTTGCTTTGAGAGATTCAAGTGGTGGAGATGTTTTTCTTAACCAGATCATGACATCCTGAAGGCATAAGCTTATCTTTTACAGCACCTACATCTTCCTTGTTGCCCCATGCTGTGCTGGGCACGCAGTGGGCTCTTGCTTACTTGAGATGGGAAAACGGGACACTGTATACATTGCCATCACTGACAATATTCTGATTTACCAGCAGATGGCAACCTTTCTACACAAATGATGCCACTTTGTCCACTGAAAATAGGGACTATGTCCAGGATAAACCCTGAAGAAGCTGGTACTATCCAGATGTTAATGGGAATTTAAATATTTTTGAATCAAACCCTAGAAAATTTTATCCCTGCTTATAAATAGGAAAGCTGAGTGTGTACAGAGAAGGACAGAATTTAAAAATTAGTGGGATCTGTAAAAAATAAATCTCAAGAATTTAGCAAGAAATTTTGACGTGTTTTCATAACTATGAGCATATTGGACTTGTATTTTTCACCCTCCAAATGTGTCTCATTTCCACAAAAATAAGCACTCCCCTTTTACAACTTTTAAAAATAATACTTTGGGATGAAATGTGGGACATAGTTTGCCCAAGTGGATTCTGTTTGCCTCCCGAGCTGCTGTCCTCCAGGAGGTGAAAGATTCGGTTGAACCCAGACGTCAGGAGAGGACGTGGGAGACTTGGCTGGTGGCACTGGCGTCCGGGGGACTGCAGGAAGGGCACCTGATGCAGAAACGGGATCTGAGCACTCTCTAAGGGCCCAGAAAATTCCAAGGAAACAGGGGTCTGGGTGGGAGTAGGCGGTGAAGGGATTAGTCCCTAGTTCTCCCCTGCCTTCTTTTAAAATTACTAAGATAATGTGTCCAGGTCTCCATGGAAAGGTCAGGCCCGCTCAAGATTGTGGGCAGTAACCATGTGCTCCCTGTTTCTCCTACCACATAAACATTTTCTGGGTACAGAAGGTAGCCCCCATAAGGTCTTCTTAATTGATTTTATTCCTCCCCAAAGAAATCCACCTGACTTGAGTTCAGCTGAGGCATGCAAAGGACAATGGCTTAGTCGCTACCCATTCCATTTCCTGATCACTGAGAGCCAAGGTGCTTCGCACCTATAGATGCAGATGGAATAGGTTTTGCAAAGGCACATCAGAAAGGGGCACTGTCTATCCCTGACATCCTCACACGTCCCTTCCTCTTCTGAATACCCACTGCGCCCATGGCCCAGGGGCTCGGGGATGAGGTGGGAGAGATGGGGGAAGAGCCCAGGAATGGGAGAGACATGTGAGTGTGCAGGGACCCCGGAAGGGGATCCCTTCCCACCCTGATAGTCTCTGACTGAAGGGTCTGCCAAGAGCCCATCTGATTGTAGCTTTGAACAACCACATCAATTATTTCTCTATTAAGATGCCTTGAATGGTGGTCCATGTGTCAACTGAGGTTATAAAGCATCATTATGATGATTAAAATCTTGAATCAATTCCCAAATTGGTACATTTGTCCTCCTATAAGTGGCATTATCTTCCATCACAGAGGGTGAAAATGGAAACAAGCATTTAATGTCATCAGCACCATACAACACACCCACATGTGTTACAAGCTCCTCCTCCAGCCACACATTCTTAACTTACATGTCCTAGTTTCTCATTTGTTTATAGCAGATTTTATAGAAAAGAAAAGAAGAGAAAAGAAAAGAAGCACAGTCCCCAGACTGTGGGACATTTTATGGTTGATTACACTCTTAAAATAAATAAGCTGATTTCCTGAAACTTACATCGGTGATCATCTTCCCTCTGGTCTTATTTCTCTCTCTGTGGTTGGCCCGCTTCTGTTTCTGCTGCAAAACCCTTTCCCTGGTGGTGCGATACTCCAGGGCAAATTCACTAATGATCCTGCAGAACTTGTTTATGTTCACTTCCCGGATCGCATAAGGCGGATGCCCCATAAAGAGCAGAAAGGAATGGAACCTGCAAGGAAAAACAATAGGGCCAATGACTTCAGTTTTAAGGAACAAAAATTGATTATCTAAAAACTTTCAGTAAAAAAAAAAAACATCAGCGGGAGACAATGTTCTTCTTTCCTGGGGCCTTGAGGTTGAAGAGTCCTCTCAAGTGACAATGAGACCAGAGGTCAAGTTCAACTCACTTTCTCATTGGGGATGGTGAGGGTGAGATGGCAGGATTGCAGGAGATTAAGTATCTTTTTCTTTTTGCTTACCTGTGTTTTAATGCTTCCTAAAATGGATTTGTGCAAGTTTTGTAACAAAAATGAATATTGCAGTTTCTAGGTTATATAAAAATTAAGTAAGAAATAAAGAAACGTTGCTTAGCAATTCCTTGGGAACCTGCTCCAGTGAATCTTGGAAAAGACATGAACATATTATGAACAATATGTCAATTGACAGTTTATAAAAAGATGTTTGTAAAGTTTTTTCTGAGTAAATATTTTGATATCTTTTTTTGCAATTTTACATACAATCTGAATTTAATTGGAACACATCGAACGAGACACACAAAATTATCTCAGCTATTTAATTTATAAATAAGAAATTGTTGAATGTTATTTACTTAAAATTTTTGTAAAAGAAGTTAAATGAGCAGACGTGTGCCCAATTTTTGGTTTTCAGGATATGAGGAAGAAGATAGTAGGAGACAGAGTGAAATTTTTATGTAAGCAAACAGTATTATATAAATGATACCACTATTTATAGACAAAAACTTTTGGTGTTGATCATTCTAATTTGTACACGTAGAAAAAGGTTTATTTTTCAGATGAGTAACAGTGACTTATTCTTTTTGTGAAAAACAACAAAGTAAAGCATACAACAGGAATTTAAGGTAAAGGGGGCTGAAAAATGCTGTTTAAAACAAAAAAAATGCTAGTAAAAGTATGAAATTCTTAGAAGAAAACATAAAATGTTATGACTTCGGATTAGGAAATTATTTCTTAGCTATGATACCAAAAGCATAAGCACCCAAAGGAAATATAGATACATTCAACTTCATCAACATTAAAGAGCTTTTGTGCTTCAAAGTTCTCTGTCAAGAGTGAGAAGACAACCCACAAAATGGAAAAAAACATTTGCAAATCATATGCCTGATAGGGAGTGTGTATCCAGAACATATAAAGAAATGTTACAACTCAACACTAAAAAACAAGCAAACAAAAACTGACACAGGATTTGAATAGACATTTCTCAAATAAAGGTATGCAAATAGCCAATAAGTGCATGAAAAGATGCTCAACACCTTTAGTCATCAGGGGAATGCAAATCAAAACCACAGTGAGATGCCCTTCACACTCACTAGGATGCATACAATGAAAAAGACAGGCCATGATGCATGTGGTGAGGATGTGCAGAAACTGGAACCCTCACGTGGCACTGATGAGACTATAAAAATGGTTCGGCCACTGGGGACAAGCCTGGCAGTTCCTAAAAAGCTAAAATGGAGCTACTTTACGACCTAGCAATTTCGTTCCTATGCATATACCCAAAAGAAAGGAATAGATGTGTTCACACTAAACCTTCTACACAACTGTTCATAGCAGCATTAATCATAATAGCCAAAAAGTAGAAAAGAAGCCAAATATCCATCAGCAGATGAATGAACAATAGGTGGTATCACCATATAAGGTCTCTCATAACTGGCCTACTACCTCTCTGACCATATCTACTGTGACCCCAGCCACACTGGAACCTCCTGATTCCTTGAACAAGCCCACCTCAGGGCCTGTGTGGCATCTTAACCTTTCCTTTTACACTGGGGACCCTTGGGGAACATGAGATCCTGCAGGGACTGAGGGAAGGGGTGGGGAGGCCACTCCACTGGGAGGACCACAGGCCCTAACAAGGCGTTCGGTACCAGCTGTTCCCTGTGCCCAGAGCATGGTAGCACTCTCTCAATCCATAGGTCTCTGCCCAAATATCACATCTTCAGAGAAGCCTTCCCACCATAACTACAGTGAATTCCTGGCTCATGCAGGTCATCCCATTGGGTGACCAATAGTGAGTAAACAGGGACTGGGGTCAGATGAGAGCAACATCATCCGGTGACCAGCTTACCAAGGAGAATTATCTATATATATAAAAGGTTAAGTGACTGTCCGTCCGTCCAACTGGCCGACCAACCAGCCAGTACATATGATGTGCACTGGCAACTTAAAAATAAACATTGACTCGCGCATGCGAGATACATATAAAGCTCTCGCTGGCTCCAATCGCATGCATGTGTTTCTATCTGTCATTGTCGATTGTGAATTTGGTTGTTTTTGTTGAATTCTGAAGCTGAAAGAAAGTGGTGGCGTCGACAGAGTATTTCTGAAGACCAACTATTGGCACAGTGTACCTCTGACACTTCATCTCTGACACTTCTATTATAGAGAAAGGGCGAATAGTGATATTAAAATATTTCTTCTAATTAATTTCCTTTCAATGTGCACGGATCTGTGCACCAGGCCACTAGTGTATATATAATTACACACACGCATGGGTACACACACACACACACACACACAAACACACATTATAGCTTAAGGAATAGATGTAGCACTGAGTTTTCATGCGTCCGGGATAAAATGGTTAATGTGACCAGGCAGAACAGCTTTTCAAGACTTTCATAAAATCGCTCCAGTTCCATGATATTCCAAATGAAAACTATTTGTTTATTTGAGTAGTTTTAAGTGGGAAATCACTTGTATCATATGAAGCCTGGAGGGCCAAAGCAGCTCACGTGCCCTGCCTCCCTCCGTGATCACATTAAAAGCAGAGTGTGCTTGGATTTCAGTGAGAAATCTGACAACATCTCGGGTAATGTCCTTCCACCCAGAGGGCAGCTGTGAGGTCTGAATGGGGTGCAGTGAGGGATTTAAACAACCAAATTCCAAAAGCACTGAGTAGTAAATACTTGCCAACCTGAGGGAAGACTCTGTTCCTTATTCCTGTTCTGTTCCTAACAGTTAAAGATGACCCCCATCCCCATGCCTACCCACCCGAACGGTCTGGAGCAAGACCCAGGAGGTCCGGCTACCAAAGCAGCAAAGGACACACGCTGGGAGAGGGCTCCCAGGCGGACAAGAGAATCAGGTTCTTAAAAACAGTCACAGGGAGGTGAAGTGAAGCACAGGGAATCTAGTCGTCAACATTGTAATAACTACGTATGGTGCCAGGTGGGTGTGAGACTTACCGGTGATCACTTTGTAAGGCATGTACATGTTTAATTACTGTGTTGTATACCCGAAACTAATAGAATACTGTACGTCCACTGTAATTGGAAATGAAAGTACTGTCTGACTTCAAGGAAGGCGAAGGAAGGAAACAAGGACAGAAGGGGAAAGGAGGGAGGGAAGAGAAAAGAGAATAAAAAATATGAAATGTTTATGAATACATGAAAATACCACACATCTGTTTGGAAACTTATAAAGTGCTCAAGCAGAGCCCGGGGAGTGTGCCGAGGAGCAGCCCTCTGGCACGGCTGCAGCTGAGACGGCCCCCAGGGAGGGCTTCCTCACACAGCTGCAGTGGGGCTGTCTCAGGGCCTGCCACCCGGGCTCCGCTGCAGGCCGACCACACACCGCAGGTCTGAAGAGCTGCATGCTCGCTTGCCAAGGTGCAAGGCCCAGGACAGAGCACTCAAAGCCCCGAGATCAGAGTGACGAAGCAAAGGGAAAGAAAGTGGTGGTGCGTGGTAGGCAATGCCCTGGCCTGGGACACGGGAAGACCCAGGCTCTGGCCTGGGTGCTGCCTCCATTTCCAGGTGAGATAGCCCTGGATGGCCCTGGAGCCATCCTAGATCCTTGCCAGCCTCCTTGTAGGGAAGCAAGGCCTCACACATCACTGCTGTGTCTCCCAGGGTCCTCTTGGATCCTGTGACTCTGAGGAAGGCTGGTCCAGAGGGTGGCACCAGGCAGACCACAGCACAAAGCCACCATCGAGAATCAATGAGTTGAAGGTCTTGGAAGACAGACTGTGGATCGTATAAGGAAGGAACTTGCCCAGCGGGTGTAGCTCAGTGGTTGAGCATCAACCTATGAACCAGGAAGTCATGATATGATTCCTGGCCAGGGCACATGCCCAGGTTGTGGGCTCAATTCCCAGTAGGGGGCATGCAAGAGTCAGTGGATCCATGATTCTCTCTCATCAATGATGTTTCTATCTCTCTCCCCCTCTCCTTTTCTCTCTCTGAAATCAATAAAAAATGTTTTTAAATGAAGAAAAGGAACTTTTCTAAAAAGTCAATCTGCCTCACAAAACGTGTGCTGTCTGCAGGCAGGACTGTTCAAACAGACGGGAAGATTCAGGGCTCAGCTTATCAGAGATGTTACAGATTCAAGTCCTGATCAAGGAGGAATTGTGAATGACATCTCTAAGATTCTTTCCGACCTTAAGATTCAATGGCATTATAGTGCTGTGTGTGTGTGTGTGTGTGTGTGTGTGTAAGAAAAATTAAGTGCCCATGAAACAAACATGTGCATCAAAGGCACCCTGGCCACATACCAAGAATTTATCTATCACACAATTTTTGTAAATTTAACCTTCAGATCTCGGTTTGCAGAATATTTTCAACATGCCCTTTTACTGCTGTTCCCATATGTTCCTCACTCTGCTTACCTGTTAATTATTCTCCGATGGACAATCTTTAAAATTATAATTCGCTCAGCACAGTCTTTCAGGAACTCTGACATTCGTTGTTTTAAAACGGGTTTCATTTCATGTTTTGCAATTGCCTTGAGGTGATCCCATGAAGCTTTGCACCGTCTCTCCATCTGACATAAATTATCCTGAAGCTGATCAAAGTCAACCTGAAAATCAGAGAGAGAACACTGAAAACGCGCTGAAACCGCCAGACCCCAACCTGAACCAGGAAGCCCAATTGCCTCTGGGAAGAAATAAACATCAAAACCAAATTTACATCTTGAAATACAAACATATTTATGGCCTCGAATTTCTCCACATGTGGATCTGTCATTATCTCGGCATCAAATTATTTAGTGATAAAACCCTTCTGCAAATGAACCCAATGCGAGCGGCAACTTTCTTTTCTTTTTGCCACATTTGGAAAAGAATCTTGGGCAAGTCTTTGAAAACTGTAAATTAAAACATGATATCCAGGAACCCTCGTACGAGATGAACTGAACAGATGGGTCATAAAATTTTTCAGAGCACTCTTGTCCTTCCCGGAGGCTGGAGGAATGCGCCACAGTCACACATGGACGGCTCTGATGTGCCCCAGCGAAGGGGCAGCCTGCTTCCTGTCACAGGGACCTGGGGCAATAGTCACCTCTAGTAATTACCAAAGTGAGTGGGCAGCAGCCAAGCTCCAGGCAGAAATACGTAATTTAGTTATTAGTTTGGAAAAGACCTGATACTGAGGGGGTCCCGGTGCCGTCACTGGGGTCAGCCTGGGGTCAGGACACCCAGGCCAGGGCTACTTTGGTTACATGCAGGCTCCACCTAGAGGGCAAGGCCCTGGGAAAACAAAAGACCACGTGTAAAAAGGGAACCGATTTGTTCTGGATGGTTCTGGAAACAGGACCACAGTGAATCTAGACAGCCAGACAGACTTTGTCTCAGTTATTCCTAACAAACTGTCTTGTGGAAAGGTGCTCAGGGGTGTTAGAGCAGCAACTGGGGACCCCCGTGGGGATACTCACAGGGGCTTTTGCCTTGTTTGGGTTTAGAAGGAATATTTGCAAAGACTTCAGAGCAGTACCTGGCACAGAGTAACATGGTAAGGGTGCCTGCGACATAGTGTTTCCTAAGAGACCCCTCGTTAGCCTCTGAGCTGGGGGATCGCTGGCCGTGCCTCCTCCTGCCTCAAGGCAGGTCCACTGCTGGGCTGGCTCAGGGGCCACCTGCTCAGTGTCCCTGGCAGTTGCCAGCCTGTTGGTCCCGGGGCAGGTGGAGGAGCGTCCCAGCCCCTGGGTCCCCACAAGCTACTTCTGTGCGAGAAGGCGGAGGGAGGAAGAGCTCTGTGGACAGACCTTAGAAAAGCCCCCTTTGCGTCCTCCCCCTTCTGCCCACCACTCTCTCCTCTTCTCACACTAGATTCCGATGTGACCCAGACCTAAAGGTCACTCTGCTTTCAGCTCCTCGGCCTGGGTTGTGTTTCCAGGAGTTTCCACCACACCCCTCCCGTGTGTTTGCTGTTGCCCCCAAGATCCTGACATCTCCCAGCTCTGCTGTATTTGAGGTTCCTCTGGGCTGTTGAACCTCAGCGATGCTCCTGCAGGGGGCGCAGCTGGCTGTCCAGTGACTGCACTGTCTCCCTTCTCACACACCACCCGTTAGCGAAGGTTTGCACTCTGCACTGCATTTAGGGCAGTGGTTCTCAACCTTCTGGACCTTTAAATACAGTTCCTCATGTTGTGACCCAACCATAAAATTATTTTCGTTGCTACTTCATAACTGTAATGTTGCTACTGTTATGAATCGTAATGTAAATATCTGATATGCAGGATGGTCTTAGGAGACCCCTGTGAAAGGGTCGTTCGACCGCCAAAGGGGTCGAGACCCACAGGTTGAGAACCGTTGATTTAGAGGCTTGCACTGAGGGACCAGGGCCACGTAGGGTTACAGCCCTATAAACCCATTCCCTCTGGGGACCATCACAGGGACGGCCAATCTGCGGGGCAGGGGGCCAGGCGAGCCCGTTTCCTGGCTCAACACCTCACTGCCGGGTCCTATGGAAGTCCGAGGAGGAGCCAAACCGCCTCTTTTTGACATCTTTGCCCACAAGCTGGGAGTTTTAATGCCCGAGAACCCAGCCTGGTGAGTAACACAGCTCCGCCGTGGACACAGCAGTCGGGTCGGGGATGGCAGGCTTGCTCACATACCTCAGTAGGAAAGAATCCGGCGGAGAACCAGAGATGGGAAAATGATCTTAAAAGTGCACTCCAAGAGGCACGAGACGAGTCATAGTCACAGACTCCAGAGCAGGGGATGCAAGCGGCCCTTGGGTGTCTTACTTCACGGAGCCTGTGCCCCTGAGGACGGGCACAGACCCAGCTGAGGGAGACAGAACCTGCTCTGGGGTACACACGTACCTTGGCTGACCTGGTGACGGCCCCGATCTCCGAGTACAGGTCGGAGCTGTCGGGGAAGTTCTCCACCACCATGGTGCACACATGGTGGAGGAGCGACTGCTTGTGCACGGTGTCTTTCACTTCTGGAACCTTCTCGAGGTAGCTTAACTCAAACGCTTTGGCCTGGTGGGTGAACATCAAATAAAAGGCAGGAAGGACAAGTTTTACACAGGTTCTTAGAAAGACACAAAAGGTTAGACTCGATGCCCTGTTGGAGCAGCCCAATATATATTTGTTAAAGATATGTTTTTTATTGATTTCAGAGAGAGGAGAGGAGAGGAGAGGAGAGGGAGACAGAGAAAAAAAAATCAATGTTGAGAGAGAATCATAGATTGACTGCCTCCTGCACAACCCCCCCCCCCCTCCACTGGGGATCAAGCCCTCAACCTGGCATGTGCCCTGACTGGCAATCGAACCGTGACCTCCTGGTTCACAGGTCAATGATCAACCCCTGAGCCACACTGGCCAGGCAGCCCAGCTTCCCAGGGCACACACTCTGTCATTCGTAGCTGGTCACACCTGGATAAGCCACATAGAATGAGATGAGCCTCCAGCCCTTCCCCACCACAGCCCTCAGCCATGGGCTGTCCCAAGGGTCTACCCCTAAAAGCAAGGTGCTGGGAGGCTGGGACTCTGCCATCTGGGTATCTACACCCCTTTTCTCCCTTTGCCTATTTCTATTCTACTTCCTGGCCAAAGATAGGCCCATTTTCAAACATGTCTGTTTATAGTGCATATAATTACAAATATTTGAGTGATAAAAAAACAAATATTTGGCCCTGATCAGTGTGGCTCAATTGGTTGGGTGTCATCCTATGTACTGAAAGGTCACTGGTTCAAATCTTGGTCAGGGCACATGTCCAGGTTGCGGGTTTGATTCCTGGTCGGGGTGTGTGCAGGAGGTAGCCGATTGATGTTTCTCTCTCACATAGATGTTTTTTCTCTCTCTCCCCACTTCACTTCCTTTCTCTTTAAAATCAGTAAAAACTCATTTAAACACAAATATTTGTACTTACATACATCAGACAAACAACAGAAAAGCCTAGAAGAAAATACTTCCAATACCAATTTTGAAAGTAGCTGACCTTCAAAGGAATAGTATGTTCATTTTTCTAAGTTTTCTTATTTATAGCAAGATACAGGTTCAAATACAGAGGCCCTGGTATTTTAAAAACAAATTTCTTCTAGATTTTTAGCGAGAAAACACAAAAGTTGTTTTTCGAAGACCAGTTGTGCTTTGGAAAGCCAGTGGTGTGACAGCCTCCACCAGCAAGCGAAGGGCAGGGATTCTGCAACAAGGGAGGGAGGGAGAAGGGATGGGAAGACTTACATTAGTTCCATTTAGAAAGTTCCCGATGGCTAAGAGAGTAGACAGGATGAAGCCCAAGGTTTTATTGTTCTCCAACTGGTCTATTCCTTCCTTCAGGTCCAAGAGTGGTTCTGCCACTTCCTTTCAATTAAAAAAAAATTGGAAGAAGATGATAATGTTCATTTTGGTTTTACTTTGTTCCTTTAATTTCTGTACAAGGTAATAACAAATTCTGCTCAGAACAGGGCAATCCCACATGATCTGCACATGCTCCTGGTCAAGGGAAAATGCCAAAGTGGCAGGGAGCAAGTCTAGTCCCCAAAGTCTCCCCAGTGGAGGCCAAGTGGGGACCTGTGCTAACAGGAATGTGTGCTGGGGGATAAGTAACCCGCCTGCCGCCCATCTTCCAAGCACAAGCAGGACCTAGCACCCCGTCTCCTCTCATCTCACCATGGCTGACTTCTATGACACTCCTCCCTCTCATGCTCCTTCAGAATCTGGACCAGTCTTCTTTGCTTTTCCCCTACCAGACAGATGACACTGGGCACTGTGGCCTCACTGTCCCTGGACCACCCAGGTCTCCTAATCTCTCCTCTAGGCACTCTGGCCAGTCACCTCTTGGTCTGGGGTCCTTTCTAGAAGGCCACCACCCTCATCACCCCCACGGCCTTCCTCAGTCCCACTCTCTCAGACTGGTAGCCTGCCCTGGAGCCTCATGGCCTCAGTCCCTTTTTGACTGTCACCGTGCGGTCCCCACTCCCATGTTCTTACTGAGTCTCTCCCAGAGCCAGAGGTTCACCTTCACTCTGCAGCCTAGCTTCCGCCCTGCCTGTCCCTAACCAGGGCTGACCTACCTGTCTGTTTTCTCCATGATGCCACCTAATCTGGCTGGAGAGAGCCACCTAAACCTGCTGACTGGTTTTGTGATCAAGTCATGCCCAGTCACCTGGCAGTCCAGGTTTCTTCATCCCTGCTTGGTTCCCAAATGAATTAAAACACAGTGGCTTCCTCTTGAAGCCCCCCAGACCCACGCCACCTCTCTAGCCCTTGTATAGCACGGTGCTCTCTCCTCTGCAGTAAGGGAAGGCCACGCAGCCTCTCCACCTGGGCTTTGAACCTGTCTCCTCTGAAACTTCCTCTCCATTAAACTCACCTCTAGCTCACTGTCCACCTCTGCCCTTTCCTCTCCACTAGTTCCATTTGCTCAGTGGCCAAAAGTGCTCATACTGCCCGGAGTCAGAGAGGACTCCTGCTCCGTCTGCTTTCTACTCAAGATGAGCCCCTCCGCCCCCATGCCTTTACTGTCAGGGTCCCTTTCCTTCTGTGCTCCTCTCAACCCCTTGCAATCTGTTTTGTCCTCAACTGTCTTCCACTTTCTCCTGAGATATGCTCTCAGAGGGACCCAATGACCCGCTAACTGCCACAGTCACTGGCAGTGTAGACGATTATCATCAAGTGGATGAATTTCAGGTCACTTTCTATACTGTGCTTGTCCGTATGCTCCAAATTTTCTACAGTGAGCAAACAGAATCAGAAGAAAAGTTAATAGTTTGTTTTAACCCACAACCACGTGTCTGAGGCTGGTGCCAGGCACACACATTAGAATAACCCATCACTGGCAGGATCCTGATCACTCAGTACAGACACAACCTCATCATAATCAACTCACCCCTCCCTCGAGGATGACACGCCACTCCCTTCCCCAACGCAAACCTGACTTCCTCAACACAGGGATGCAGGACTGGCTGCCTCTCCTCCTACGTGCTTACCTTTTCTGTGGTTTCATAGTCCATTTTGAATGCCCAGAGGTGGAGCCGCGCCGAGAGCTCGCTGATGGAGGAGAGTGTGAGGAGGAACTGCTCCGCGCTGCCCAGCGGGGCCTCAGGGTTTGCCAGCTGGGCCTCCTGGATTTTCTGCTTCTCCTCTTCCGTGGGGATCATGGTTAGAATTTTCTGAAAAAGACAGGATGATACAGTATACGTTCTCGCTTAGTGATGGAACCTATTCACCCCTTCGATGTTGCGAAATTCGTATTATAACTTTCCAACCAGGTAGGAGAGATGTTCTGTTGTCAGTGTTCTATGGCATACAGGTGTTACATTGTCATAAATCAAATGTACATTAGGGAAAAGCCCCACTGGCATCAATTTGACATTCCTTTGTTCTAAACGTCCCTCCTTCCCTCTCTCTCCTTTAACCTGTTTCATAAGCAACTTGCCCCAAATGTTCTGGGTCTTGTACATGAAGGACATTCTGAAATCCACCCACTTGATAAAGGTGAGGGAAAGGTTATAGAATAAGATAGATTAGAGAACTACTTCCTGTTCCTTAGTAAACAGAGTAAAACATCTCAAGAATGTATGTTTTCTAGTCCTTCCCATCGATTCATTTTAAAGGTTATAAAAATGAGTGACTTTCAAAATAACTCAGATTGACTTATCCAGAGGACATATAATTTTAAGTGTTTTAAACACTTAAACCATATTTTTAAATTTATATAGAAATGAAAACACTTTAAATGATATCAAACTCAATTGAACAGGTAGTGAGTTGACCATTTTCCCTCTGGCACTCCCCAGGCTGGGTGTAAGGGAGTGGGAAACCTGGGAGAGGGCATCAGGTGCAGAGCGCTCCAGCGAACCCTCTCGTCCTGACTGGGGGAGTGGGAAAGGGGTCTCCTAGCAGAGGCAGCAGGGGCTGGAAGAACCTAAAACTCTGGAGGGAGAGAACCTTCCTCTCCAATCAGTGATGCTGTGGTCCAAACCCCTGCTGCTTTTCTTCTGTCCTCCCTCAGCTTGGCCCTAAACATGAGCACAGTCACAGAAGGTGGGTGGCAAAGTGAGGTAACTGAAGCCCCAGCTTTCAGCTGGAAGACCAAGACAGAAGGCCCAGGGCCCTGGAAAGTACTGGAGAAGTCATGGAAAATGAAGAGCCTGGCAAAGCAAATGATAATGTTGTTTAAGAACTTCTGAGTTCATCCCTGAGCTGCTCATATGTGAGGCTGACCTTAACCGGCACATCAAAGACTTGGAGACCTGGACTAGCCTTTGAAAACTTCAAAAATGGATCCAAAGCTGGAACCACAGTCTGCAACATGCAGGTCTGAATCCTGGCCTGAACCCAAGCAAGGGAGGGCTAGTTTTCAGTTCTCTGTATGAAATAAGAATTACTCTGATATAAAAACTACACAAAGATAATGCAAGAAAAGAAAGCTAGAGACCAATGTCCCTGATGAAATTAGATGCATAAATCCTTAACAAAATAGTTTAAAATATATAAATGAATGTCAGCATGTTAAGATATATAAACACATGACTATATTTTACATAGCAATATAACAAAAAATAACCACAAGGTTGGTTCAATATGCAGTAATCAATACATTTAATCTACCAGATTAATAATCTGAACAAGAAAATTCACATAATCATTTTGATACAAAAATTTTAAAAAATAAAATTCAATATCTATTCATGACAAAAAACAAATAAACTCCCAGCCACCCAACAGCAGGAGAGATTTCCCATACCTGATAAATGACATTTTATAAAAGACCTACAGCACATCATGCTTAGTGGAGATAGGCTGAATGCTTTCTCTCTAATATTGGGAACAAGATAGAAAGTATTTTAAAAAGAGCCACATGGATTGGAAAGGAGAAATGTAAACTGTCCCTATTGCACAAGGTAGAATTGTCTGCATAGAAAATTGTGAGGAATCTAAAAAATTTATAAAACAGTGAGTTTAAAAATGCTGTATGACATTAGGTCAACATACAGAAAAATCTATTTTATTTCTATATATGGATAATGTACAATTATAAACTGAAATTTAAGAAAAATTCTATTTACAAAGAAATACTTAGGTATAAATCTAACAAACCGACTTGTAGGGTCTGTATGCTGGAAAGTAGCAAGTATCGATAAAAATGATTTAAAAAGACCTAAATAATTAGGGGACATACTGTGTTCGTGGACTAAAAGACAACAGGGTCACATATTAATTTTTCCAAAGTTGGTCTATAAGTTTAACTCAATTCCAATGAAAATACCAGTATAGTATTTTTGTGGATACAGACAAGCTGATTATAAGTGTTTATGACAAAGCAGATGAACCAAACCGTAACAATTTTGAAAACGAACAACCTTGAGGGAGTCCCACCACCCGATTTTAAAATGTACTAGAGAGCAACAGTAATAAGCCAGTGTGGTCTGGGCAACAGGACAGACATGGATCAATGGGACAGAACAGGGAGTCCAGAAATAGACCACACAAATATGGCCATTGATTCTGACAAAGATGCAAAAGCAGTTCAATGGAGAAAAGATAGTATTTCCAACAAATGGTTTTAGAACAATTGGAATTCTTATGCAAAAGAAAGAACCTCAACTTAAACCTTACAGTTTACACATGGATTAACTCAAAAGAATTAACAAATCTAAAGTAAAAGCGAATACTGCAAAATGTTTAGAAAGAAACAGGAGAAAACCTCTGTGACTCATGTTAGGCAATGAACTCTTTAGACATGATACCAAAAAAGATCAGGTTGATAAACTGAACTTCCTCCATGTTAAAGACTTTTTCTCAGAGAAAAACACTGTGGAGAGATTGGAGAGACAAGGTGTGGTCCCTCAAAAGGTTAAACGCAGAATTACCACATGAACCAGCAATTCCATTTGTAGGTTTTCACCCATGAAAACTTATGTTCATACAATAACTTGTACATAAATACTTGTAGCACCTTTATCCATAATTCCAAAAACTGGACCAAACTACATATTCTTCAACAGGTGAATAAAGTGAACTCAGCAATAAAAAGGGACAAACTACAGGGACATACCACAATTAGGAAGACTATAAAAGACACGCTGAGTGGAAGAAGCCAATTATGATTCCATTTATATGAAATCCTCCAAAAGACAAAACCACAGTGATAAGACTACCAGGGGTCCTCAAACTTTTTAAACAGGGGGCCAGTTCACTGTCCCTCAGACCGTTGGAGGGCCAGACTATAGTTTAAAAGAAAACTAAGAACAAATTCCTATGCACACTGCACATATCTTATTTTGAAGTAAAAAAACAAAACAGGAACAAATACAATATTTGTATTTGCATGTGGCCCGCAGGCCGTAGTTTGAGGACCCCTGGACTAGACCCTACAGGTCTAGTTACCAGAGGCCAGAGGTGAGCTCAGGGTGCGACTAGAAAGGGACAGCACAAGAGCACATTTTTGAGGGGAGATGGGACTGTTTTGCATCCTAACTGCAGTAGTAATTGCATGAATTTATGCATATTTAAAAACCCTTAGAGCTGTATAGCAAAAAGTTTCATTTTACTCTATATGAATGCAAAAAATTTAAAAATAAAGAACAAAATTGCAATCCTGGACCCCTGACATCATGATTGGCAAACACACAGGTGTTTCCAGGATTGTGCTTCAGGACGTCTGTGGCAGGGCAGAAGCCATCTGGGTTTGATGAGCGTGTGATCAGGGAGGGCTGTCTCGGTCCTTCATTAGGAGCCAGTGATGCCCAACTGCATGGGAGGTCGGAGTGAGGTCATGCCCTCAGCCCTGGCCCGTTTGGTTCAGTGGTTAAAGTGTGGGCCCTGAACTAAGGGGTTGGGGGTTCAATTCCCTGTCAAGGGTAAATACCTGGATTGCAGGTTCAACCCCTGGCCCTGGTCAAGGTGAGAGCGGGAGGCAACCAATTGACATATCTCTCTCATGTCAGTCGATCTCTCTCTCTCTCTCTCTCTCTCTCTCTCTCTCTCTCTCCCCTCCTGTCGATGTCTCTCTCTCTCTCTTTCCTCCCTCCTTCTCTTCCTCTCTTCCTCTCTCCCTCTCCCTCTCCTCCTCCCTTCTACTCTCTCTAAAAATAAATGGAAAAAACATCCTCACTCCTCTGGTGAGGATTTAGAAAAGGAAGGTATGCCCTCAGATACCTCCTCTTCCAATATGCTCCTCATCATGGCCCCTAACTGAGATGATGCAGGTGGGATGTGACATCGGGGCGATATGCAGTGACACTGTGACAGTGCCCCTTGCTCTCCCACAAGCTCTGCTTGGACCCCACCTGTCTCCACAGATGGTATTAGACAATAAGCAAAGCAATCCAAGCCCAGGAGTTGAACTCAATCAGTTTTCAAAATAAAAACATAACTAAAATTTGTGTTTTAATTTTCTTTCTGCTCAAATTGTTTTCAGCATGGACAAGAATTCCGAAATAAAAAATTGTCAACACTTTCCCCCCTTCTTCAGAAGGCATTTTCCTGCCATGCTTTTAGTTGCCTTTTTCCTTTGGGAAAGTAATCAAACACTCTTACTTTTGTTTTTCACTTCTCGGACTAATTGAAACCATTTGTTCAGTGTTGAAGATTTATGAGGCTACCAGCTGCCAGTTTGTTTTATTTTTTCACACATCGCTGACAATAAAAATAGCCCTAAGACAGTGGAACGGCAGGTCAGCGCCACCTCCTCTGAGGTGAGGGCTGTGTTTTTCCAGGAGCAGATGAAAGGAGATGAGCACGAGGGGGAACCCCTGATTGGCTCTTCTCCGGGCCAGTAGATCTACTGATGATTTTATGGTCGCCATTTGGTTCCACGGGGAGAAAAACATCAAACAAGACCCCTATGCAATAATGCAGCGTCTTTTGTTTTTTATTTCCTCCCAGACAGGGCTTCACTTGCTTGTGTACCTGAAAGCTGAATGTCAGAGAAAAAGGCACAAGTCTCACTTTTCATGGACCCAAATGGTTAATGGTTTGGCCATCTCATTCACATGCAGATGAGGCCGCAATGAGGAATTATTTTGCTTTGTGAGCTTTAAGCAGAACCCTGGCTACAGCTCTGGATGAGAACCTCACACAAGGATTTTGGTGACAACAGCAGAGAGCTGAAGAGCTGGGCCTGGTTTGTACGCAACTTGTATATTCTCATGAGACAATGGCTTTC